TAGGTCGCGGACCACCTCAATTTTACGCAAACTAGGAAGACTTTTTTTTTTTTTTACTCATTAACAAGAATACACAAAACTACTTATCGGTCGTCGGCAGAAACAACGATAAGATAACCGTATATTACGGTAAAATAAAATATTTTTCGCTGTTTAAAAAAAAAAATAATTTTTAATAGAAAACTAAGAAATGTACCGCGGACCACCTATGACTGGCCCACGGACCACCGGTTGGGAAACACTGCGTTAAATGGACCAACTCTATATATATGACTCAAACTTTGTTCAATTCGTTATTTAATATTCGATGTATGGTGTTGAAAACTTATCTTAACTTTTCCGTTGTGCCCAGAATAAAAGTTCTGGTTTTCAGCTGTATATTATCAGGTAGGCAATCTACCTGCGGTAGATCGCTGATCCTGTGCTGTTTGTACGTAAGTGTATGATTTAGCTCTAGAGTATCAAAGTTACTTCATTCCACCTACGATGAATTGATATAATTAATCAATACAAATCCTAACCTAACCTAACCGTACTAAAATCCGATGAATAAAAAAAAAACAAATTTAACCTATCTTCTAAAAATAAAATTAATCTATCTTCTTCCCAGAGGTCTAATCTACAAACAAACATTATATCTATCTATCTATATATATATAAATGAATGTATGTCAGTGTGTGTGTGTCCATATCACCATGGCAACCATATCTGTATATATTATATAAAACAGTAAGCTGATTGATTGACTGCTATCAACGCACAGCTCAAACCATTGAACGAATCTGGCTGAAATTTGGCATACAGATAGCTATTATGATGTAGACGTGCGCTAAGAAAGGATTTGCCAAAATTCGCATTTTAAATAGGTTCTGAAATAGGGACATTGAGATTCACGATAGAAATTGGAAATTTTATTTTTATTTATTTATAGTTGCCATTGGTTACAGTCAGGGGCGCCCGCAGAGAGGGGCCAGTGGGTGCCATTGCACCCACTGAGATTTTTTAATAAACAAAAAAATTATTATATTATATTATAATATATTCAATTTTTTTTCTGATTTTTTTTCTAAAAACCAATAATCATGTAAGGTAAACTTTCACAGAATAATATTATGTCCTTATGTCTTATGACGATATTTAGTATATTCTTATACACTGTGTCACTGTGTATGGTATAATAATTATTATTATATCTACTATCTAGACTATCTATTTATATTTAGATGTCTGAACAAAATATACGGGAATTACCACGATCGATAATCGAGAATATTCGATAACAAGTAACACTCTCCTCAGTCCTACTCGTCCCAGTGAATTACGATACGTATACGTCGATAAGTATTCGTAGTTAGCGTCTAGTTCATTACTAGTTATTGCGATTTAAATTACCGAGTTTAAGAGATATTATAGTTGTTATAGTTATTAATTCGTCATTTAGCTACAAAAATTATTATAATTATGAGTAATAAAAGAAAAGAAGACTCAATATTGAGTTTTTTTCAAAAAAAAATTAAGCCATTACCCTGAGTCAAAACCCTTTGCCACAAATAGATACAGATGAGACAGTAGGGTCACAAAACCTAATTTTGGTAAGTACTTACTCGAATAAAAATTTGAACATACCTATTATTATTAATTTTCAATTAATATTTAGTACCTACTTTACTTAATTTTAAGACTGGATCTATCATTTTTTATTATAAATTAAATATAAAAGTATAAATAAATATAAATTTGTTACTCTTTAAACTAATTTTGTTTATAGTATATATTTTATTAGTAAAAAAATGTCATAATATTTATTTAATTAAGTTAATCTCAAATATTTTATTTATGTTGAAAATGGGGATATTAATTACAGTTACTGATTAGACTGTTGAATTCAATACTCATGACTAGGGACGAGAAGTTATAGGAGCTAAAATAGACAAAATATGCAAGGAAAAATTATGATATATTCATCAAAAATTTGAAAATATGTAAATAAATAAAAAAAACATATTTACAATAAATTAATATAAATAATATTTCGTTAAATTTTATTCTATTAAAATATAAATAATTTAGTAACCAAATAATTCATGTAAGATTTTAGTAGTGTAATATTAATATTATATTTTCGTATACCTAATTCAAGTTGTTAACTAGTAACATTTTTTTAATATAGAAGGATCATGATAGACCAAAACAATTGATCAGTGTTAATCGAGGTGTTAATGAAGTTTTAACAAATGATCTTACTGTTGAAAATGAATGTGATCAATATGATATTGGACATTATATAAAAAATAATTTAAATATTACTGAAGATTTTAAGTATAAATTATTGAAGAATCCTTGGGTTCCAAGTATCCATTATAATTTTAAGAAAGATATTGTTGTTGGAAATCGTGCATTTTTATTTAAGTGGTTTTCAATTTATCCTTGGCTGGCTTATTCAAAAATATTTAAGGGCACATATTGTCTATACTGTGTTTTATTTCAAACTCATGTATCTCATGGAGGTTTTCAAGGACAGTTTATAAATAAGCCTTTCCAACGTTATCAAAAGTTTTTAGAAAAAGCAAACAACCATTTAAAAACTCAATGGCATATTGAATCTTCTATACGCTTCAATGATTTTATAAATATGGCGAGTAAAAATTCTAGTGTACATCAGATGATAACCTAACTTAATACTTAATACTTAATACTTAATTATAAATATTAATTATTGAATCAATATAACTAAATTAGTTTTTTTTATAGTTTATAGACGGTCTTGTCAATAATGATTTTATAGTTGAAATTAAATGTCCATATGCAGTAAAAGACACTAAGACATTTTTAGAAGCTATAAATAGTAAAAAAGTAAGAGTATTATTATTATTATTATTATTATTTTTTTTTTATTGGCTATTAGTATATAATAGCTCAACATTTATAATTATACACGATACAATATAATACATTACATATTAATATTAAATAACAAAGCCAGCATCCAATATAAAGGAAATTACTGATTTAATGGCGGTAGTGGATTTTGTATTGAGAATGGAGTAGATATTAAAGGGAATATCGAGAGTTTTAAGTAAATTAACTAAAATAAAGCGTTTGGTTTGAAGGGCAGGGCAGTCAAATAGTATATGGCAGAGTAATAGCTAGGTACCTATACCTATCTAGTATCTACACATTAGTATATAAAAAACAAAAAAAAAATTCCAAAATATACGATTTTATATTTTTAAGATGATAGGTATTATTGTCTGATGTAATTATATAGTTTATCATGGATCTACTTCAAATTGTATTTCCTAGTCACCTTGTTTATTAATTAAATTTATACCTACAAAGGCTATAACTTTAATAGAAAAAAGTTACAAAATAAATCTTTTTTAAGCAGTTATAGTAGGGATCTTGGAAGTGTACAGTATTATATATAAATTAATTTATTAGTAAATTATGTTATCAAATTTTGACATTATTTGTAATATTACTAAAATAATAGCGATATATTAAATTATTATAAAATGCTACTGTATAGATTTCTGTCTATGCTATACTATAGTACCTATATACCATACATTATTATAACATATAATATTGCATAGTAATACTGCAGACTATACGAACAATTCATATAGTATGTGGTAATACTTATGTTTCATTTTAATATTCACAGTATATGTACATTTGAACTTTTATTATTTACCTTATTATATAATTATATTATGATAGGTATTAAAAATTAAAATAATGAATACAATAAATTAAGAACAGCTGTGTTATGACTTATCAACTTATTTATAGGTACAATCAAATTATAACAGTTCATTAATTATAGAATTATTATTTAACACTGTTAAGGTCAACACACACTGGAGCGGTGGCGGTAAATACTAAATTCCGAGGGGTAAATACCTGACAGAAAGTTTGTACACCAGATTACTGATTTCAATGATTATACCTATGATTACCCATGATTTACTACAAAGATTACCTATGATTACCCATGATTACCATCACCTTATGTACACTGATTACCCCCAAGGTGTTTACCCCTCGCTAAATTCTATTCTCTTGGCTTTACCACAGTGGTGAGCGGTGAAATGTGTCCAGCGTTAATTTAACGCCACCGCTCCAGTGTGTTGCGACCTTTATTGTCATGGACGCTTAACAGCTGAAAAATTCTACAAACTAAATAATGTGTATCCCTTTCATTAAAACAAATATTACTCAACAATAATAGATTAATCTCAATTAATTAATATCGTCAGTAATGAGTGGTTGGTTGTTTCAACGTTCATAATATAATTATTGAACTCTAAATGAAAAACTCTACAAGAAATGTATGCACGTAGGTATACCTGTTGTGGTGGTCTTCCATCGTAAATTCGTTGAACCGTCCGAATAATAATAATTATTATAATTATATTAAGTTAACTTATAAAATATAAATTATAATGGTAATGGTTATAACTTGGCAGATTCGCGATCGCGACTCACGTGGTCACCACGTTCGTGAAATATCTAATTTAAGTAAATGATAAATAAAATAATAATAAATGATAGTCGTACTATCATTATCGCTACGGGATATCTTACAGATAGCATTTCGTTCAAAACTTGATAATACAAATGTCATATTTTAAGATATCATTTGGCCGTTCTAAAGATGTCCTGTTTTGTACTTTCTATTTTATTTTTAACTCGATATCCTTTAGGGATCTACAAGATGCCTTAGAGATATCCACAAACATGATTAAAATAAGATATGAAACGGCTTTACCCTTTTTAATCCCTCGTCAAAAAATGTTATTAGGGTGGCATTGAACAGTTATCCATTTGTATACGATTTTTAAAAGATAACAATTTGCATGAAGAATTTATTGGGTTTTATCCGTTAAAAGAATTTGATGCCGACTTCATTTCTAAAACAATATTAGAAGCATGTAATCATATGAAATTGGATTTAAATAAATGTGTAGGTCAAGGCTATGATGGGTGTGCCACTATGGCTGGATGTATATCTGGAGTACAAAAGAGAATTAAGGATATGTGTCCTAGAGCCCATTTTTTTCATTGCGCTAGTCATCGCCTTAATTTAGTTATCAATGATTTAAATGTCTTGCCTGAAGTTAGAAATTGTATTACCAAAATAAAGGACACTATAACATTTTTTAAAGAAAGTGCAGTTCGCATGAATGTAATAAATTCTAGTAATTGTAAATTAACCAAACTGTGTGAAACTAGATTTGTTGAGAAGCATAAGAGTGTAAGACAATTTAATGAAAAGTTTATTGTTATTGTAGAAGGGTTAGAAGAAATGTCAACATTAAAACATTTTAACAGTAAAACTAAGCAACGAAGCCTTGAAATTCTAAATGCAATTACTACTCCAAATATTGTTATTTTATTATCAATTATAGCAAAGTATTCTGCCAAATTTGAATTTATATCTACTATTCTTCAGGGTGTGAATATTGATTTACAAGAAGCCACAAAACGCATTCAAGAGCTTTTACAGATTGTAAAAAATGACGTGAGTGTCAATTTAACTTAATATTCAAAAAAGCAGAAACTGCAATTAAAATTGGTCTAAAACAAAAAAAAACTTGCAGAAAATATTGTCCAGAATATTTAAAAATTGGATTTACGTGGAACGGAGACGAAGAAAATCCACGACCACAATGTGTTATTTGTGGATGTATACTTGCAAATGAGAGTATGCGACCAAACAAACTACATCGACATATCGATACGAACCATCCAGAAATGAAAGATAAACCACTCGATTTTTATAAAAAAAAACTAGAATCTCTAAAAACATCAAAAAACAATATTTTTAATTTTACTGCAACTAACCAAAAAGCTACGTACGCTTCATATAAAATATGTTTACGAATTGCTCAAACTGGTAAGCCTCACACAATTGGTGAGTTTAATTTTACCAGCAATCAAGTCGAATTTCAATTCCAGTCGGAATCTTGTTTGATCAAAAATGTTTAAAAGAAGTTGAAAAGTTTTTGCTTTCAAATAATACAGTGTCGCGAAAAAAAAATAGGAAACAATTCCATCCTTCACATTAAAATTATATACTTATTAAATTACTAATATATTATACTTATTATACTTTTTTTTTAGTAACTACATAGATTATATACTTATTAAATTACTAATATATTATACTAATTATACTTTTTTTCGTAATTACATAAAATTTAATAAAATAGTTTAATTTTCTGTTGTATGGTAAAAAAAAAAAAAAGGTCATTCATTGATATTGTGGGTCGCCATATTTTAAAAAATTTTCAAAATGGGTCGTACAATAAAAAGTTTGGGAACCTCTGCCATATACTATTTGACTGCCCTGCCCTTCAAACCAAACGCTTTATTTTAGTTAATTTACTTAAAACTCTCGATATTCCCTTTAATATCTACTCCATTCTCAATACAAAATCCAATACCGCCATTAAATCAGTAATTTCCTTTATATTGGATGCTGGCTTTGTTATTTAATATTAATATGTAATGTATTATATTGTATCGTGTATAATTGTAAATGTTGAGCTATTATATACTAATAGCCAATAAAAAAAAAAAAAAAAAAAAAATAATAATAATACTCTTACTTTTTTACTATTTATAGCTTCTAAAAATGTCTTAGTGTCTTTTACTGCATATGGACATTTAATTTCAACTATAAAATCATTATTGACAAGACCGTCTATAAACTATAAAAAAAACTAATTTAGTTATATTGATTCAATAATTAATATTTATAATTAAGTATTAAAATATATTTTACCAGGAGAAGCTGCTAAATAAGGAAAATGTTCATCAATAATAAGTCCACATTTATTCACTGTGCAATTAAATTTTTTTTCCAACGCGACGATAGCTTGTGATTCTGTGGCTTTACCATAATCTGTTGCTTTCGAAGATATTTGATGTTAAGTGATTTCTTATCGAAGTCGGGAACTTATTATTTAACGTCATAGCTCTTAATTTTGTTCCATAATTTTTCAATAAATGGTTCCGACATTCTATTTTTATTACTCGTAGCCTAGGGCCATAAGGCATTATGTCATGTAATCTTCTTGTAACGTTTGAGTCTCCATCTCCTATAATATGTTTTTTGTATTATATGCAAGTAGTATGTATTTGTATGTTCACAGTCAGCTTTTCCACGGTAAAAAAAAAGTTCAAAGCGGAATGTTCTACTATTATTAATATTTCAAATGTAATTATTAAGTCGTTGCTTGATTGAGGATTAGATTTTAATTAATTAATTAGTCAAGGATATGATGGTGCCAGCACTATGTCTGATCATATTAGTGGGGTACAAAAACGAATTCAAGATAAGTGTAATAAAGCAATATATATATACATTGTTCGAGTCACAAATTAAATTTACTTCTAAATTAATTAATATTCTATTCCAGAAATTAGGAATACAATCGAAATTATTAAAGAAACAAATAATTTTTTTAAAGAAAGTTCTCTTAGAAGTTCAGTTGCTCCAAGTTTGATAAAATTGTGTTTGGCAAGATGGTCAGAATCCCACAAGGCTTTGAGGAAGTTCTATGAAAAGTATGTTGATATTATTGAAGATCTTAATTTTCTTAAAGTTAATGGTAATAAGGACACAACAGTTAAATCAGTATATAGTTTTAACTCAATAACTTCTTTACAGTTTTTAGTTTGTTTAAGGGTAATTGCAAAATATTCAGCTATTATTGAACCAGTCACTAACAAACTACAAGGTGTAGATATTGATTTATTTTTAGTAAAAAAGCATATACAAAAGTTGACTGATATTATTTCAGCTGATAGAAGTAGTAGTGAACAGGTTTTTAACATTTTGATGAAAGATATTAAACAGTATGCTGATGATGTTGGTATTGAATTTGTGGTACCCAGAATTACTTCAAAACAGACTTTAAGATCAAATTATCCTACAAATAATCCAATTGACTACTACAGAATGTCAGTTTTTCTTCCATATTTGGACTCATTAATATCATCTTTAACATTTTGGTTTCAAAAAAAAAAAAATTAAGATGCTTTTTGCATATTTACTCTACATCCAAAAAGTTTAAAAACGTTTTCAAGAGAGGAAATAACTGAGCATCTCAATCGAATTAAACAATTTTATGGAGAATTTGTGGACAATATTGTAGAGGAGGGTTTAGTATGGTATAATATGTGGAGTTCAAAAGAAGTGTCAGATAAGATGGACTTCATTGATGTTTTAAAGGAAACTGAATTACTTCCTTCTATACGAATGTGTGCTATGATAGCAATTTCACTTCCAGCAACGACTTGCAGTGTTGAAAAGTCTTTCAGGTATACTATTATAGTATTATTGTATTCATAAAAAATCCATAAAAGTAAAACATTAAATTTCATGCTTTTACCTTTAGAGATTTTCTATAAATAATGAAAGTTATTTAAAATCTAAAATAAATTGTTTTACTTTCCAGGATAAAAAAACTTATTTATTATATTTTATAATTTATTAAATACATCTTTAAACTATTATACTATTATTTTACAGTTCATTAAAAAGGTTAAAAATCTGGATCCGTAATTCAATCTCAGAAGATAGATTAAATGAATTAGCTCTATTGTATATTCATAAAGACATTGTTAAAAAAGAAAAAGAAAAGGTTATAGATGATGTTATTCAGTTATTTTGTTTGCAACCAAGAAGAGTTCAATTTTTATTTAATGATTAATAATGTTTAAATGTACCTACAAACTTTAATAAATATAAGAATATTGTTTAAGTCAAATTACTAAACATCTAAACATCTAAACATCTCTTTACAACGAAAAACTCTATATAACGTAAACGTTACATAATAATGGTTGGTTTGCTATACAACCCATTAGTCAATTCATTCTCTATAACGTAGTAGTCACTCTCAATAACGAAACAATATTTTATGTTTCATAATACAATTTACGTGTTATAGTATCTATTACATATATAAACTAAAAAAATAATCGGCAATAATGCCGAAATCTCCAAGAACGATTACATTCTTTCATTATCTACTTTTAATATAATAATATCGTTATTGTCTAAATTGAATAGGTACCTATGTTCATTTTATTATCGACGTTATGTCTAACATTATACGCATGACCACAGTAGTATAATAATAATAATATGTAATTCAATATAATACGTAAATATGTATAATATAATGTAAAAATAATAATGTGTTTGATATATAATATTACACAGGTACATACAATACCTTTATAGTTAAAATACTTAATAATTAAATTTTTGTTTTTTTTTAAACCCTCTCTATTACGAAAACTCTCTATAACGAAAGAAATCTCTTGGTCCCTTCAGATTCGTTATAAAGAGGTTTCACTGTATTATTATTTTATTATTTAATACTAATATTAATTGGATTCTACTATTATTTAATTAGTGAGTAAACCTAAACTATTATATTTTAAGTAATTTTTATCTTGCCCCTGGTGGGATTTTACATTGAATATCCATTGTCGCACACAATTCAGACAATTGCGTAAATCAAATTCCAGCTGATATCGATCCACTAACGGCGGCTTCGTTAATTGGTAAATAATTTTCTGGCTTCGGTTTTTCAGATTCAATAAACATAATAATATTACAAACATCACATTTAAACTTAAAAGTTGATCTTATTCCATGTTTTTTTTCAGAAATCAACGTCATGTTAAAAAATGAACAACCAAATGGCCCTTTGTGATCACTATTTTTAATTTGATAAAAAACGTAATTCATATCTACTATTCGTCTACCAGAGGTTTCATACTCAATATATTGTCATATTGATTACTAGATATAGATTGTTCAGCCACCAAATCATGTACGGTTTCTTCAACATCCCAATCATTAATTTGATCGTCTATCGAGTTAGTTATTTCACTACATAACAGTTGAAAAAGCTAATGTTACTATATATAGGTATTAGAATATTATACTAACATAATATTATATAATATATATAATTAAAAACTAATTAATTGCGTTTCATATAATCCACTTAAATAGTAAACTATGTAAAGTTTACCTGATTGTTTCCTTTGACGAACATGGTGGTTGATTATCAGCCCCTAAGAAAAAGGCCTTAACGACAGGTTCGATTACTACGGGGTTGTGCCTTGAATTAAAATGAAAACGATTTGTATAAAAATATGATATAATGATTTATGTTTTATTTAAATAGGTATGTACTTGTTTTAGTTGTAAATATTTATAAAAATGTCCCTCATACGAAAAATCAGATTTATTTTTTGACAACTATGTTTCATATAAATACCTAATCTATACTTAAATGGTAAACAATACTTAGGTTATTTAAATAAAGTTTACCTAATTGTTTCATTAGATAAACCCGGAGGTTGATTATCGGCCCCTAAGAAAAAGGGCTCTACAATAGGTTCGATTACTACAGGGTTGTGCCTTGAAATAAAATTAAATAAATAAATTATGTTAAGTTATGTAATTATTTCATTATTAAAACTATTTATTTTTCGTTTAAATTTTAAATACTTGTTTTCGTTCCGAATTCCAAAGAGCGCCTTCATTCGATAACTCAGATTTTTTTTGTTTGATAGCTTCTTTAATGTATATCCGAGGTTTTTATTTTTTGATAGATCCATTTTACGGTAAAAAATACGATGAGTACGTAATAAAACAAACGTTTAGTGAAAAATTTTGAATTTAAATTATGACGAAATGATAATAATTTATAGTACAACAGTGACTTATATCTCTCGATTACGGGCACATAGATACTAACTAAAAGGACATTTGTACCCACTACCTACACATGAGATATTTATTATTTGAATTTTTAATATAGTTTAAAATAATAAGAGTATACCTAGTCTATATAGTGGGATGTGATAATTTCATTGTTGGGATTCTAAACTTATTGGCTGTTTCATGTAGTGTATGAGTAATCTATTGACATTTGACACTGTATAGATCAGTTGACGCTGACTATATATTTTTATAATACATAATTACAACCTACCATATGTATGTCTTGTGTAGTGTTGTGTTCACAGTACGTCGTTGATTTGTATTACGCCTCATAATTATACTGTACATATCGTATCGTTATACTTATTAATATCTTATATATATCCGACAATACTATTAATTATTATCTCAATTATTATTATATTATACAATATAAATATAACTGCAGCAAATAATAATATTTAGATGTTTAGTAATTTGACTTAAACAATATTCTTATATTTATTAAAGTTTGTAGGTACATTTAAACATTATTAATCATTAAATAAAAATTGAACTCTTCTTGGTTGCATACAAAATAACTGAATAACATCATCTATAACCTTTTCTTTTTCTTTTTTAACAATGTCTTTATGAATATACAATAGAGCTAATCCATTTAATCTATCTTCTGAGATTGAATTACGGATCCAGATTTTTAACCTTTTTAATGAACTGTAAAATAATAGTATAATAGTTTAAAGATGTATTTAATAAATTATAAAATATAATAATATGTATAGGTGTTTGTCTATGTCTATTTGTGTTTCTTCCGGTGTGTTTTGTATTCTTTTTGCTTGGATTGATATTAATCCCAACAAGTTTTCTTCTTCTACGGGTTTTCTCCTTGCTTTGGCTGCCAGCTCCAGTTCTTTCCGTCAAGCTTCCGAAACGAGTGCCATTGTGACTGTTTAATCTTATTTAAGAATCTCATCTTATATAGATTTTTTCGACTCATTTCCTATTCGATGATTGGTCCGTCGTTCTTGTGACGTGATTGGGTCTTCTTATTTACTGTTTTTCTAATTTTGTTCGTCCATACTGTAGTATGGACGTACTTCTGCCACATTAATCAGAAGTTTCTTCTGTGTCATTTCTATTACCTCTGATCTTACTCTGTTCATCCATTTTTCTATTTGGTCGAGGTATATTGGCCATTTTCTATGTTGGTCGTGACAGTATGTGCGTAATAATCGTCCTATCTCCCTGTTGTACCCCTTTACTGCATTCGATTGTGGGTGGTACTTTGTTGAGTATATAGTTTTTACATTCCACTTTTTTAATGTTTCCTTCCACAATTTTGCTGTGAACTGAGTACCATTATCGGATTGTATTGCTTCCGGAGAACCGATCGTAGGTATATAATCTTTTTCTAATTGATGTATTATGGCCTTTGACGTTGCTTTCTTTAATGCGTATAATTTTATGTATCTAGAAAATGTATCTAATACTGCTAAAATGAAATATACCCCTCCTCTACCAATGGGTAACGGTCCCATTAAATCAATTGACACTTTTTCTAGTATTGTGGTTGATTTATGTGTTCTGATTGGTCCACTCGGGTCATAGTTAATTGGTTTATTCTTCTGACATTCATCGCAACTTCTGATGGTGCCCATAACAATTTTGTGCATATTTCTGAATGTTCCTATTTCTCTAATTAAATGATATGTTTTATATCTTCATGGGTGTCCGAATATCGTGTGTGTTTCTAGTGTGAGTCTTCTTGCCATTTGTTCTGGTATTGCGATTTGCCAATCTTCTTTGTCTTTTACAAATATTATACCGTCCTTAACCCTAATATGTTCCGACTGTTTCATTTTTAATTTACTTATTGTTTTGTCACATTCCTGTAATTGTTTTAAATTATCGATGTCGTTTCGTAATTCCTTGCTGTATCTTTCTAATATTATTTTGTTCAAGTATAACTTCTTTTCGTTTCTATTATCTGTTGTTCTCGGGTATCTTGTCATAGTGTCTGCTATTACATTGTCTTTGCCTGGAATATATATGATTTCTAACTCGTATTCTTGTAACATCAACGTCCATCGGGTTAATCAGCCACTGGTTAATTTGCATTGTTTTAAGAACGTCAGTGCATGATGATCCGTTAAAATAAATGTTTTATTTCCTAATATATATTGTCTACATTTATTACAACAATATACCAATGCCAATGCTTCTATCTCTGTTGTCATGTACCTATCGTCTTTCTGGTGGTTTGAGTGTTCTGCTAGCATATCCTAGTCTTGCTCGTTCGTTGTTATCTAAGATTTGAAATATTTCTCCCCCAATTGCTACTTCGTGTTGATGTACATTGGTTGTTGTAGTTTTGGAAATGAGTTTATGACTTTATCTAAGAAAGCTTTCTTTGATCTGTCGAATGCCTCTTGGTGCCTTTTCTCCCACGTCCACTTTTTGTGAGTTTTATGAGTGGTTGAATAATATCCTAAAAATCTTTGACGTATTTTCTGTAGAAATTTAAAAACCCTAAATAGCTTTGCACCTCCTTAATTTTCGATGGTGTTTTGAATGCCTGGATTGTGCTAATTTTTTCTGGGTCCATTTTTAATCCCTCTGTGGAAATACTATGACCTAGAAATGGTACCTCTTTCAAAAAAATCTGCATTTGTCATTATTAACAGTAATGTTGAATTGCTTGAACTTTGTTAACACTATTCTGATATGTTCGTAATGGCTCTTCTCATCTATCGACGTGATCAAAATATCATCTACGTATATCGTTACGAATGTGTGTAACAATGGTTCCAGCACTTTGTCCATACTTTTCTGGAACTCTGCTCCACTTATGTTTAATCCGAATGGCATTCGTTTAAATGAGTAGTTTCTCCCATCGACTAAAAATGAGCATAGTTCTCTGCTGTTTTTTCTAGTGGTACTTGCCAATAACCTGACCTTAGGTCCAGTGTGCTTATGCATTTGATCTCTTCAAATTTTGAAAATATTGTTTGAATTGTCATCGGACATTCTCGATCTGGAAAAATGATTTCATTCAACTTTCTAGCGTCTAAACACAGTCTGACTTCACCGTTTTTTTTTAAAAACTGGTACAATGGGTAGACAATATGGTGATCTAGATATCTCAATAATGTCAAGATCCATCATTCGTTTTATCTCTGTCTTTACCGCCTCTTTCTTTGCTATAGGTATCGGATAAGGTCTTTGGTTAACCGGTTTGCTGTCCCTTATGCGTATTGTGCACCAATAATTTTTTTATTTTGCCTGGTTTTTCACTAAATACTTCCAGAAAATCATGAATTAGTTTGTCTAACCTATGTTGTAAGTGACCTGGTAGGTTTTTTATTTTATTTTCTCTGTGAGCTTCTGTGATGGTTTTTGTTGATATTGCCCTTAGGTGTATTGGATTTTCCTGTATTTTATCCATTAGTTGTATTTCATGTATTTTGTTATTGATTTTCAATACCAATGTTCTTTTCCCGAAGTCGATTGATGCTTCGTGGTTTTCAAGGAAATCATTTCCTAATATTCCGTTCTCGTTAAGATTTTTTATTATCATAAACGGTGATTGCAATTTACTTTCTCCAATTTGGATTGGTAGTTATATTTGAGTCGGGGTTTCATCGATTCCGCCAGACCTTTTTATACTTGGGTATGAGGTTTATCGATTCCGCCAGCATCGTTTCCGTCAGTGCAGGTAGTCTAAAAACGACCTATCGATTCCGCCAGGGAAAAAATAATCTTCCCGAACATTTTAGTTTTATTTTACTTACATAGCTATATTATAAATATTATATGAAATACCTGTATAAAATTGTTATCGCTAATTGATGATAATCTAACTTGTATACGCGCAATGATGCGAAAAACGACTAATAGTATTGTCCAACGCTAATCTGGTTAGTCTCAATTTATCAACGTGTCATTATACTTCGCAATAATGAATTTCGAAATCGTAGCTGGTGAACGAGAAAATAACTTAGTTATTTATCAAAATGAAAAATTTTTTAAAACAAACTTTGTGAAATATTTATGAGCGTATAAGTGGAAATGTGTTAATAAAAAGTGTAACGCAAAAATATACATTAACGAATCCTTAACGGAAATTTTAAAATATGATATTGACCATAAAAATCATGAAAAACAGCCAATAAATGTATTGAAAAAAAAAATATTTTCAAACCAACTCAAAAGAAAACTTACAGATGTAACAGAAAGTCCTTCAAAAATCATAAATCGTGAAATACTAAAAAATCCTCAAATTGAAAATATCATGGAAAATGACTATGTTGACAATATCAAACAATGTATACATCGAGAACGTAAAAAACGCATACCTTCGCTTCCAAAAAATCTTATTGAAGTCATTGAAGCTATGAATAATCGTGAAATAAGAACTGTTGAAGGTGAGTCATTTTTAATACATACAGATTTGGTGAACAATATGATGTGTTTTTCTACAGACAGTAATCTAAAGGCTCTAAGCTCGTCTAATACAATATTTGTTGATGGTACATTTTCTTCGTGTCCTAAGTTTTTTTATCAACTTTTTACAATCCATGTAAATATAAATGGGCATTATGTTCCATTAGTTTTTTTTTTATTACCTAACAAAACAACACATATTTATGAATTAGCATTTAGTTTTTTAAAAACTAAATGTGCTGAATTAAATATAAATTTAAAACTGACAACAATTGTGGCTGATTTTGAAGAATCTATTCATGCTGGGGCAAAAATGATTTGGCCATTAATACAAGTAATCGGATGCAGATTCCATTTAACGCAAAGTTGGTGGAGAAAAATCCAAGAAATTGGATTAACAGACGTGTATAAAAATAAAAACTGTGATTCCGGAATCTGGTTAGGAAAAATATTCGGACTTTCTTTTTTAAGCCCAGAAGAAGTTTCTGATTGTTTTGTAGAAGAGTTTATGGCACACTGCCCTAATGATCCAAAAATGCTAACATTTTGTGATTATTTAACTGAAAACTACATTGACGAGTTTTCGAGATTTCCACCCAATGTTTGGGCCTCTTTCTACATTAGTTCTGAGCGAACCACAAATAGTTGTGAATCTTTCCACGCAAAACTCAATTCTCTGTTTACAAAATCACACCCAAACATTTTTTTATTTATACACGTCTTAAACACAAGGATCCAAACAGATACGTACATTATTCTCAGGTCAACTCACAAAACAAAAATTAGTAAGAACACAAAATATATTCATCAAAAAAGAAAAATCGAAGATTTATTTAAAGATTATGAGGCTAAAAAAATTAACCGCTCACATTTCATTAGTTTGGCATCATCCCATTATAAAAAATAACATTGTAAAACTTAAAACTATATTTGACTAAATTAATTTGTATTTAAATTAATTATTGAATTATTTTGTTGATATACCTATATTATTATTATTGTAACATTTTATTTATTTAACTATATTGTATTATTTCATTAGTTTGGCATCATTCCATTATAAAACTTAAAACTATGTTTGACTAAATTAATTATTGAATTATTTTGTTGATATACCTATATTATTATTATTGTAACATTTTATTTATTTAACATTATTGTATTATTTCATTAGTTTGGCATCATTCCATTATAAAAAATATCATTGTAAAACTTAAAACTATATTTGACTAAATTAATTTGTATTTAAATTAATTATTGAATTATTTTTTAGATATATTATTACTATTATAACAGAAATAGGTTGACAGCAGCAGTTGCCAGGTCCAGGTAGAAATTGGTAGGTGGCGGAATCGATAGGTTGTTTTTAGACTACCTGAACTGGCGGAGTCGATACTGGCGGAATCGATGCTACATTGGCGGAATCGATAGGTCCCCATTTGAGTCGATATCTTTTGTCATTTTGTCCCCTATTGCGTTGTATATGTGTAATCCATTTACCGGAATTGTTGGTGTTTTAGGGTTTTTGTTCGTTATTAATTGTTGATAGTGCTCCGAGATTGCACTTATTTCTGCCCCGGAGTCTATTAACATTTCGTATGTTGTGTCATTAATTCTGATTTTAACATATGGGCATCCTTTCGTTGTTGTCTTTTTTATTTCTTCGTCGTATTCGTCAACCTGTAGTAAATCCGATGCTCTTAGTATTGCTATTTTGTTCGTGGTTTGTATTTGGTCAGGGGTGCTTATGACAGTGGCTGATCCAGGTCCATCGTCCCCCATTCCTGGTTTTTTGACTCATCGTCATTTTCTGTCTCCATATCATTTTCCTCGTACGTCTCATCCTCATCGTTGTATATTGCCAAGTGTTTTACTGCTTTTTGGATGTATTGGTTTTGTTGTGTTTTTTCTCCCGTTGATTGTCTTGTGATTGATTGGTATGGTGTTTGATTATTTCCGATCGGCTGTCACGTTTGTTGTGTTGCATTATTTTGCCCCTGCCGATAGTTATTGTTTCGTGATTGTTGCTGCACATTGTATCGATTAGCGAATTGTTGTGTCTGATTATTTTGACCGTATCGATTCGTAAATTGCTGTACCTGGTTATTATGCGGTGTTTTCTTCGTTAGGTTGACCGTTTCCTGATTATTTTGTTGGTCGTAGTCAATCTGTTTATTATGGCTATTTTCTAGTTCACCTAGCTTCTCCCATATATTTAAAAATTTTCTCTCACGAGTAGTTTGTATATATGCCTGGATTGCGACTGGAAAATTTTTCATGATTAAATTTATTGCCTGTTCTTCATTCAGTTTTGGAGAATCTAAATATTTTAGTTCCGCCATCCAAATATGAAAATGTTCTTGGAAGTTATTTGTTATAGGTTTTTTCCCTGCTTCTGTGGATTTTATGAATATATTCCATTGTTTATCTTCTGAAAAGAAATGTTTTAGGAATAATTGCTTGAATGTTTCTTCTGTCGGGGTTGTATCCTTTATCATGCTAAACCATTTGGCCGCCTTTCCCTTCAGACAGTTATCTATAACGATTATTCTATCCACTGTTGTTACTTTTTTGTGTGTTATATAAGTTTCGAGATTTTTTAAGAACATTTTAGGATGTTCGTTGTCTTCCCCACTAAAGTTCGGCATTGTTATGTCGATATTATTTGTTCTTTGTGTTGTCTCTTCTGATCTAATGTTGTTCATGAACCTCATGTCTTTTTCATGTTTTGCTATTTCGATCGTTAATTTGGAGTCTGTGTCATTAATTAGTTGCCTTAGTGCTGTAATTTGTTGATTTTGTTGTTCTTGCTTTTCGTTTTGATCCGCAGTGCTGCTCTATTATTACTCTTAATTGTTGTACTATATCCTCCAGCTGTTGGATTCGCTTGCTGTTATTTTTTACCATCTTGTCTACGTTTATTTGATGTGTTTATTTCGGTGTCGTGGACTTCGAGCCACTAGTTGGGCGCCAGTTGAAACGGTACGTCCGGATGGACAAACCGTATCGTGAATAAATAAAATGCTTATTGGTTTTTAGTTATCAAATATCTCTATTGCTATGTGAAATGTATGTTATGTTGACAATATTGAGGACTAAGTAAAGCGTCGATTTGTGCCGACCAGACTTATAAAAGTGAGTCGGCACAATCGGAGGCGCTTGGGTTGCGGTCGGGCAATCGCCGGACCCTATCTGTACAGTGGGATAGGTTTTATAAATATATATTATACAAAATGAATATCAGGCATGGGAGCCGGCCGTCGTCGGTACAGACTTAATCAAGCGGTACCCCGACGACGAACCTGGCTCGGGTCGGACAGCTTATTGAAGCACCGAGGTTGGTGAAATGTTGGCCCTGAAAAGGGCCGTTTAGTGACGTAATGCCGGCAGCTGTTGAATATCCGGCGATCCAGTAGGTTTGGATTTGTAGGCGGCGGTCGATGATCGGTTGACGGTTGTATCCGCGGGTCGGCGTCGTCGCCGCTGGACTATATGTCGACACGGGTTTTATTGCCGTTAAGCGGCAGCCACGTGGATAATATGTACTGACGGTGTTGTCGTTGTCGGTCTGCGGCCGATAGATGACAACTGTGATCCATAGTGCTGAACTTGAAGAAGCTGTAGGAATTTCATGATGTATAGGTATGTCTGATTCTATTGTAAGATTCTATTGTTTCTTAATAAACGAGATAAATTGTCAGATGTATGTCTTTCATCAAAACTGTTATATCCTAATAATACTGATGAAATTTGTGTTTGGTTTTTAGGGTCAATAAAATGAGCAGTTACCGAGACAAAACTTTGGTTATTTCTTGATGTCCAACCATCCGTGGTCAAACACACTGCTGACACATTGTTTAATGTATCTTTAACACATTCTACAGTTATGTTAAACAATTGAGGCATCAAACTTTGAGTAACTGTTTTTCTTGATGGAATTAAGTAATTTGGACATAACATTTTTATAAGATTTCGAAATTCTACATCCTCTACAACAGTAAATGGATGATATTCCTTTACAATCATCTTCAGTAATTGTTGATCAATCATTTTTGATTTATTTATAGGAATCGGCTTTTGGATGAAGTTTTCTATTGAGGACTGACGTTTGTCAAGTGGTTTAAAGATTGTCGAATACGTTATTGCTACTGAAGATGATTGTTGTCTAGTTGGACTAGTTGCTACTGAAGATGATTGTTGTCTAGTAGGACTTAGATATATGGATGTTGAGGGTTGTGGATCATCAATTATCTCAGAGTTGGACTCATTTACCTATTTATAAGTATTATTAGTAACAGTACTACACTAGATAATTTGAATTCGTATTTACAGGTATTTAAATATAATAATTATAAATTTTTTACCTGTGTTGATTTATGTAGTGGAATTGCTGTATGTATAGTGTTCATATGTCTTAACAGATTACCAGTAGATCCGCCATTATAACTTTTTGTTTTATTACAATGATTGCATTTTGCCAAAGTTGTTGATATTGGTGTGAGTGAGCCCATACTATACTTCGCTTTTTATGAATCAAAAGATTTTTTACTGGAGGCATGATAATTCTAAGAATTTTAATTTACTACAGTCTACAATTGTATTTTAATGAACACTATGTCAAACAAAAAAAATAACATTGAACATCACAAAACAATAACTAAAATGTAATAAACAGTATTGAAGACAGAAATATAATTTTGATAATTTCCTTATCTGTGGGATTTTTACCTATTACACATTTCTAATATTTTTTTTTTCTATTTATTAGCTTTCAACCTGTAGTTAATGTGGCGTAATTATGGGCATATCCCGATTGGTACCATTTTTAATTCTTACCTTTTTCATACCCCAATAGGTCCATACTTTTATCGACAAAATATATTGTATTCGATCCACAGCTAACAGGACATAGGTACCTATTTAAGATAAGATAATCGACTAAAACCTTTTAAGAAACAGATCTGACGATCGAATATGATGGTTTATACTGTTTATATGTATTTCAATTTGAATTAAGGCGGTAATCAAAGTTCAAACCAACAATGATAAGATCACGAATATAGATAATAACATAGATAATGTTTTGCCGTATCCATATGTTTAATATCTATGGTTCCTATGCACCCCCACCCTAGACTTGCCACTGCTGAAAAAACGAACGAATAATATTGAACGAATCACACGAACGGGTCTTTTGGAAGACCCGATCCGAATGAACCGGATCGTTTAATTGACCTGTTTTGCACATCTATATAAATGCACCGGTCTCACAAAGTGGAGCGGTAGGTTCGTCGGTGTTCGTCGGTGGAACAAATTTAGGGACGTTGCGATACTACCGATACCAGTAAAGTATCGATACTTTTCTTTCGATACAAGTACTTTTTGTATCGATACCATGGGTTCGATACTTTACTCATATCGATAAAAAAGTATTGGTATCGAATGAATGGATCGAATCATTTTAACGCCATATCAGTTGAAAATTACTTGAATAGTCGAATGTTATCGAAAAATTCTTTTCGAGTACAATGGTTTGCGCGTGGTGGCCGGTGGGTATTTTCGAATTGCGGTGAAAAAGTCCGAAGTAAAAAAGTCCTAGGAAAAAAAGTCCGGTGAATATTATATTATATAGTATATACATAACAATATTTATATTCAATGATTATAATTATGTACTTACTTAGTATAATAACATAAAATATACATAATATATCAATTAATTAATTAAATTGAGTATTAACTATCGTCATATAAAATATTATACAAAAAAATATTCAATGATTATAATATTATGTAGTTAGTATCTTAACCTAAAAAAAAAATCGAAATAATTATTACATACTAATATTGACACTACGCATCTAGTATTATTAATATATTTACAAAAAAAATTCAATGGTTATAAAGTTTATCTAGTAGGTATTATGAATTATAAATTAATCAGTAACTGTCAATCAACTGTCGTCAAAAAAATAATATTTAAAAACAAAATTACGGTTTATATATACCGTGTGTAACAGAAAGAACTGACCAAAAAAAAAAAAAAATTGATGCTACTTAAATGTATGACAAAAATTGTTGAAATTATATGATTAGTAAATAGTTTTAAGAATATACCCATGTTATAAAATTTCCAAAAATAATATTTTTAAAAAAGCTATTACGTTCCAAATTTATTTTATCAAAAAAATATTGATATTTAAAAAAATTCTAAAAAATAAACTACTAGACTTAGATAAATGTTTTTACCATCCAAATCGTTCTTAAAATCAGATTCACAAGTTTGCTATTTTGAATTTATTCAAAAAAATTTAAGTCATATATACATATATATATATATATGCATAAAAATATTTAAAATAATATATTTAAAAAAAAATCGAAATAATTATAATGTTTATCTAGGACTTGTTCTAATATTATGACCAACTTTTTCTAAAAATTCTTCAATGGTAATTGAATGATTAGATATTCTTTGGCATAAAGTAACTAGTCGGATATGTGTTGAATTTTTTTTTTTTCACCGGCTCTCCCATGCTGTCGATAGCTAATTTCGCTTTATCTGCCGCTACTTCTAATCTCATTTTTCGAATAAGTGTCCAAATAGTCGGATGACTGCGGCCAACTAAATGACTAAATCTGTTATTCCACGATTCACATATATTATTCGTTCGGTGGTAACATTTCATCATTGTTTTATGTACATTCCAAGTATTCGGTGGAAAAAGTGGACTTATTTTTTTAAATTTGAATTTGATACCAGCCCCTACTTTTCCAAGTGGTCCATTTACGTAGGTTGCGTCAAAATAATTTTAAAGATCTTCTGCTTCAGGAGAAACAATTGTTTTAAGGTAAGCCATTCCTTCGAAAACATGTTCAAGAGGAAGAAATGCAAGGCCGTCCAACATTGCACAAAAATGACTAAATTCGTCGTTATTTTTATACATTTTGACTAAACCTAAATCTTGGATTTTTCTGTAAGAACTTAGGCACAAATGATAAAAACAGCCTCTTATAGTCAAATTTGAATCAAAAATTGTTTGAGCGGCAGAAATTAGAGCTTTTTCAAAATCAACATTTAAGTGGATTGAATCGGGAAATAATTCGTGCTCTTCACATTTATTTAAAATAAGTTTGAACATTTCTTCATAAATAGACATTGTCTTGAGTTCAAGAAGACAGTACACTGCAGTTATATACGAATCATTTTTTTGTACTCTTATAACATAAAGTTGTAAAAAGTATTTAGGACTAAGGTTAAAATTACCATCGCAATACCACGTTTTGGCCTCTGTCAACAGTAGGTAAAAAAAGACAGTTCAGAAGCCTCATCCGCTCGCCCTTGCTCGCCCTTGCTCGCCCTCCTCGCCATTGCTCGCCCTCCACCGCCACCGCCGCCCGATCTCGCACGTACGCGACGTACATTTTACCCCTCCCCCACCCACCGCTTACGTTCGTGACGTATATTCCCCCCCCCCCAAACCCGCCGCCCGATCGCGCACGTACGCGACGTACATTTTACCCCTCCCCCACCCACCGCTTACGTTCGTGACGTATATTTCCCCCCCCCCCCAAACCCGCCGCCCGATCGCGCACGTGCGCGACGAATATTTTACCCCGCCCTTGCTCCCCTACCCCTTTGTATATTTTAAGCCTTGACCACCTGCACCTGTTACGGCAGATGTTGAGAAATTTACCCCTACCTAATAATGTTTCCCCCACCTAATAATGTTTCCCCCACCGAATAATGACTCAAATCATCAGACGCTCGACCCTGCAAGAGCGGACATTTATTCAGTGTGTTCAGAGTCTTATGCTATACTACACGTACATTTTTATTTCTTGTGACTGTTTTTATTTTTTCAAGTCTTAATAAATTTTCAGTGTTTATTTTTATAAGTTCTAAAAATTATTAATATCATGGCTGGTTCAATCGCTGACAACGCTGCCATCTACAAAAAGAAGCCGTTTACGTACGTTCCTCCAGCACCTCCGGCTGAGCTAATAGATTCTACGTCCTACACATTGGACTTTACAGCTAGAAAATTTGTACTTGTGGGAATCGATCCAACAGAACAATTTCAAACAGTTATTATTTTATTAACATCGTCACGTTATGTGAAAATTAGTATAGATTTTCTAAGACGGATATTCTCGCTTATGGGTAACGTACTATCTTTTATATTAGACACGCCGCAAAACTACAAGCGAACCATATTTCTCGAAACTGATTCTTATAAAATATCGAGTATGGTGTATAGCGGTTCAAACGTTCTAGTAATTGAATCTAAGACTGAAGACGGATGTAGAGTTTTATTAAATCGTATAGATTTAATAAAACTCCAAGAATTAGAATGGTGTATTACTGCTAGTATTAAAGAAAAAGAAGAAAAAATAAAACCCGAAATTATTAAGCAAATTAGTGATTATTGCGAGTATTTGAGCGAAAAATGCTTGCAATCGGATTCACCACCCAACAATTTGAGAGAAATGGAAATTTTCATTCGGAACGTTGAAGTCAGGCAGAGTAAAAAGACACCTAACCTCGGTCAAATTAAAATGTTTGCGACTACACAATTGGCCGAACTTTGTATGGCTCATCGGAAAGTACAAGACTCAAAAGTGGTAATTTAAAAATATAATATTATTAAGTATATAAAATATTAAATTACATTTATTTTTATTTTAGACATATGATAAGAATTTCAAAACGCCGTCATATTTCTCACCTAACTATTCGATTGTAGAGGAAGGAATATCTAAATTGTGTCAAGAAATCGATGCATGTGATGAAATTAATCCGTTGGAGAATGATTTAGTTGAGGTAATTCATAAATATAATATTATATACAAACATATATTTAAACAAGTTTTTTTTATTTTACTTGCAGGACGGGTATTCACCAATATCCATTATCTCCAGCTTACATGATGATTCCTGTACAATACGTGACGCATTTGATAAGCCGGAGGATCAAATTCTAGCTAAGGTAATAAATAAAAAAAAATTTCAACTAAAAAACAGTATTTTTTATATTTAATTAATTTTCCAGCCGCTAGATCATATTGACGGTCCACAATCACCCTCAAGTTCACGGTTGTTCAACATAGGAGACGGATTCGATTTCTTCAATCGATTTAATTCACCACCCTCAACTTACGCCAATCACCCTACTGCAGCACCATTACGTAGAGTGAAGCGTCGACTACCACAATCATCCACAAGTTCACAGCCGTTCGATGAAGATGATGGGTCTGATTTTTTCAATTCAAACCATTCACTGTCTCAATTTACTACCCACGAACCATCTGATCGAGCAACTTATGCTCTTCAACCCACGCCGCTACGTAATGTAAAACGTAGACTATTCTAATAATTGATGTAAAATAATTAATTTATGTAAAAATAAAAAAAAAGACGTGATATTTAAAAAAAAGTTTTTTCATTTATTAATATTAAGATTTACAATAAATATTAAGATTTACAATAAAATATTAAGGTTTACAATAA